AAGAGATGTCTGAGCCTCCCTGCACAAGCTCAGGAACAAGTGGAAGATGATGGATTGAAGTGATGGATTGAAGTGATGGATGGATGGATGGATGGATGGATGGATGGACGGACGGACGGACGGACGGACGGACGGACGGACGGATGGACGGACGGATGGATGGATTTTGAAATGCTTTAAAATATTTATTTTAACCTATATTGTATTATCTAAAGTATATAAAAATGCCAATTTGTGTATCATTTGGGTTATAAAATGGGCATTGTTTTACTATCAAAGAGCTGATTTTATTTTGAAGCCCAAAAAGTTGTGAGAGTTTAGACCAAAGATATGAGTACAACCAGATTTTAGAAGATGTTTTGAATCTCGTCCAGAACAAAAAACAAACTAAGCAGTACGTCTAATAATTATGAAGCCATGAAGTCCAAATGTCTTGGTTTGCTGCAGGGTAATTAGTTTTGTTCTGCCCTAAGAGAACTACTGCATGACTAAGAGCTAAAGCAGTTTCCTTCTGGTTACAAAGAAGCTGAAGTCATGCAGCGCACCAAACATAATGAAACAACTGCAGTCCAAGTTATTTTTGTATCCCTTCTACATAAAACGTTTGTTAAATTTTATCAACACAGCTGACATGGCAACATATATTTCAGGCCAGAATCAGTCCACAGATTAATAAAGGACGGCAAAATGTTTCAGGAACAACTTTTAACTACCATGCACAAAAGTTAAAGACTACAAGCAGAATCCACTACGTATGCAATGTTCTTAACAAGATCGGCTTTTATCTATGATTCAACACATCTTCTCTCATTGATCTGCTGAGTCTCTGTGACATTCAGAACAAAACACATCCTGAAACCTTTCATCTCTGCTTTTACCCCTCTCAGCATCGCTCACTTGACACGCCACAGTCAACATCCGCTGACCTTTACATGTGAAAACGAAGCCCCCGCATGGACGTTTCATCCACTGTGTGATGTGCCCTTTCACTCAAACTTTCAAGCCTGCATTGAAAGAGAATTACTGGGTGAGATACTGTCATCATCATTAGATGTGAGTGAACTGATTAACTTATGGAGTCAACTCAACTCAAGATGGCTGCCGCAGCCAACTACCATTGCAACAACAACACAAAAGTGGCATTAACTCGGTTAATTTTACAGATACTGACCTAAAATCTGGCATGGTAGTGGCTGAGACTAATCCCAAACACATATTGTAAGTGCTAACATATTGCTCAAGATCTGCCTTCAACTATTATCTGTCAACTCCATCTGTTAGCAAAAATCTCTCCCGAACCACGGGATAAACGTTCATGAAACAGTCCAGGAATGTACATCACTGACTAACTACTAGGGCCAACTCAATTCAAAATGGCTACCACAGCCTAATGACCTTCAAAAACACTAGTCTCCTGTCGCTGAGGGATTTGAACAGTGAATGTTTGTAGTTTTTGAGATGTTTTTTTCTGGATTGGAATTGAACATAATACAAGTAAGCCTTAATGGTTTTGGTGCAAGGTATTCAAGTGGGTACAGTTAAATTGTATACAAAAGCAGAGGTAGTAGTTTGTTCTTTTTTTTAAATTTTTTATTAATTTTGTTTTTGCTTGCCCTAAGCAACGAAGAGTGACAGATCTTGGCAAGTGAAGAGAACAATTCTATCCACGATGAGGCATAATGGTGGAGCCAGGGGGTGGCCAATGGTGTCCTTGGTCACCATAGATTAATCTTTAACGACCCCAAGGAGACTATTTTCTAAGCAATTTGAACACTAGAACACGTAGTTTCCTCAAATGTTGGGGTAGTTGGTGGCTTACATTTACA